GAAATCCTCTGGGGGTACCCCTGAGGCAGTCGCGTCCTCGGGACATACTCGCTGGGGAGGTGCTGGGGCAGAGGGTCCATGTGCATCATCATCAGCTCTTCCTCTGCCGGCTCTGGCCCCGGCGGGGGAGGTTTTGGCCCAAGGACTGGTTCAGGAAAGCTTGTTGCAGCCCCAGCTTTCTCATAGGGAAAGTACCCTGCGGGACAGATGCTGAGTTAAGGGAAAGGAGTGGCCGAACAAGGATGAGGGATTCCCATCGCACTGGACCTCGGCCCCCAAATGCCCCTTCAGAGCGAAGGAAAGGAGCCTGGAGGTCAAAAGCATCCCACGGGCTGCGAGTGCATCGTGCGAGTGCCATCAGCCCCATCCAGTAAACAGGCCTGCACAGAAAAACTGCACAAATATAAGTTCAATAACTTAAAGTTTATTCTAAGTGACGCCTAAACTGTAAAATATCATCAGCCAAGATACAAAGATTAAGAGGGAAAAGAAAAACCCGTATCCTTTTCTCCACGTGGCTGCATCAGCACACCCGAAACACAGACACCCCCCACCCCCCCGGTGTCCAACAGGGAATTCTTGCACTGGCTTCATTGCTGCTCATCGAGGAAGGGGTCTGCTGCGACACTGGCTGAGAGAAAAAATATCTTATAGCCAGTATATCCTAAATATCTCCGCTGTGAATTAGGGATGGAGCCCTGCAGCTTGAGACTCCGCAGGGACAGCCAAGCTTGGCAACTTTGTCTGACTTTCCCTTAAAAATATCCCGTGACATGGCTCCCCAGGCTGCCCCGGCCCCGTACGACACCTCCAGCCCGGGTGCTTCCTCGTGCTCTGTGCCAGGAGTGAAGCCAATTTCTCCCTCCTCGGTGGTTACGGAGGACGGTCGCTCTTACGTCCCGCAAGAACCTTTTCCTTATTAGAAAACTGGTACTACGTCAGTCTTGTCTTTTTTAAACAAACCAAATTCCTTCCATTTTTGTTCTCATAGGTCATTTTTTTTTTCAGCCCTCTGGTCATTACTGCCATCCCCTGACCTCCTCATGTTTGGTGGACGTCTGTATCGCAGTGCAAAGCCCCACGGACGAGACGCCGTCTCCCAGCGAAGGCTTCATCTGCAGAGAGTCCTGAGGAATAACTACCTATCCCGGCTCAAAGAGCGCAGAGCAAAATTTACCCCTTTCTGCAAGAGTATAAGACTTCTGATGGGCATTTAGGTCTGTAATCTGCTTGTAATTGTATTATAAAGTATATATACCGTATATAACTTTGTAAAGTATATATATTCTATATAACTGTATTATCAAGTGTTGACCAGGCTAGCAACAAAATTAAGACAAATCCTTGATGAAAGTGATTTTTCAATCTAGTGTGCAAATTTTAAAGTAGGTTTATATTAATATTTCCTTCATTATTGATGAAAATATTGCATCTACTCTTTCTTTTTATCCCACAAACCAAAGGAAAAGGAAAAATGAAGTTGTTTTGTACTTGAGAACTCCATATTAGCTCTTTTTTACGACCCTAGGTTTTCCAAACTTACTGATTCAGAAAGGTTGCACAGTAAGGCACTAAATCAAAAGCCAGGAGAGCACTGTGCATTTGATTTGAGTAAATATCCATATGTTTTCAGTCCAGGTTCCTGGGGAGCGTGTGCCTGCACGCTTGGCCTGTGCCAACAAGGTCAACACGGCCACCCCTGGAGATCCAGCATAACCCTGGTTGATATCCCCAACCAACCGAGCCTGACCTCACTTCCAGCAAGAAAACAACATGGGATTCAACTGATAAAAACCAGCAATATACTCGGTGCCCATCACCAAGGCTTTATCAAGAATAGTCCTTGAGAAAAAGTCTTCAGACTGAGTTTGCTAAAGGCAGCCACACAGATCCAACACTGCCACGAGCTCTTTGATCTCCATCTTGGAAAATACCCAGGAGGAGGCCCGGCAGTACTAATAAAGTTTGCAGTGAAGGGTTTTAGGGATTGCTCACTGACAGCTCGACAGCAGGAGCTGTTGATGAAGAGTTACCAGCACAGCAAGGTGCTCCCTGTGGCCGTGTTCTTCAGCATTTAACCAACAAGTAGCCAACGTTGGCAGGTGACGTAAAGGTTGGTGAGGAGAGAACAAGAATGAGGACAGGATAATGAGAGAGAGCAACTAGGTCAACTGGTTGGTTGGGTCCATCCAAACTACATTTTAGTCCAAGGAAATGCAAATTTAAATGTCCAGGAATGAAGTCTGTAAATACCGCCTGCGTTGTGGAGACCCGGATCCCGGAAAACATGGCTAGGAAGAACAGAAATGCCAAAAGTTTGCAAGAAGCTACGCAGCACAAATTCCCAGCGAGAAATTGGAAAGCATCGCTTTGGCGTGGCCATCCCCAGGGAAACGAAGACCCAGATCCGGCCCAGGCGTGTTACCCCTGTGTTCAGCTGGGAGAGGACTCGCTCCCACTGAACAGGGCATCCACAACAGCTACGGCTTAGACACGTGATATGGTTCATGACAAATACGTCTCCAAAGGATGGCACGTCCCTGAGAGGGGCTGATGGGGATCACGGTGCGGCTGCTGCTGCTGTGGCCTGATTTGGGTCTGTTCAACAGGGAGCAGGCAGTTTGCCCAGAAGGGCTGGGACTTGGTGGGAGATTCCTGCAAATCCCCAGCGTTGGGAATCTGCATGAGCATGTCTCAGTGTCTGATGGAGGAGCTGGGGCCCGTTAGCAGAAGTGAGGAAGGTGGGAAGGGAAGGGCACACAAGCCCTTCCGCTGAGCTGAGGCAGGAGCAGCGAGATGCAAAATGAACCACAAGCTGCGAGTAAGAGCTCTGAGCAGAACGAGCGCTGCGCCAGGCGGGTCAGCCGGGAAAGGGTCGGAGGGGGCAGAGCCGACCTTCCCCAGAGAGATGGATTTTTAGCCTGTGGGATTGTGCTGGGTTTGACTGAGATAGAGTTACTTTTCTTCACAGTAGGTGGTATGGGGCTGTATTTTGGATTTGTGCTGGAAACAGTGTTGATAACGCGATGTTTTTGCTGAGCAGTGCTGACACAGAGTCAAGGCCTTTTCTGCTCCTCACCCCGCCCCACCAGCGAGCAGATTAGGGGTGCACAAGAAGTTGGGAGGGGACAGCTGACCCCAACTGACCCAAGGGGTATTCCACACCATATGGCGTCACGCTCGGCAATAGAACTGGGGATGGAGGTTGGCGGGGGGGCCGCTGCGCGGTGACTGGCTGGGCATCGGTTGGTTGGGGGTGAGCAACTGTTTTCATTTGCATCGCTTGTTTTTCTTGGGTTTTATTTATCTTTTTTGTTATTTTCCTTTTCATTACAATTTTTTATTATTATTATTTCAATTATTAAACTGTCTTTATCTCAACCCATGAGTTTTTTCACTTTTACCCTTCCGATTCTCTCCCCCATCCTGCTGGAGGGGAGTGACCGAGCGGCTGGGTAGTGCTTAGTTGCCGGCTGGGGTTAAACCACGACAGGAATATAGAAAAATTGGGGAGTGAGTTCATAATATGCCATAAAATCATTTATCTTCATCTAACTGAAGACAACCTGGGAACTAAAATTCTCTCTCCACTCCACCAGACGCCAATGTGAGAAGCCCCATGCTCATCAACTCCACACCGGTGCTGCTCTCCAGGTGTCCGTGCTCCTACACCAGAGCTGTGATTGCTCCATGGAAAATATCCCATTTCACCCCAGGAGCCTATCGAGGACGGGCACAGACCCCGCTGCTCGTGGTTGACCCCGTGCTTGTTAGCAGAGCCCGTTCTGGTGAAGGGATGAGACCTGGGGTCTGCTCACCTGGACGGCCAGGGAGATAACCCTGGACACCGTGCTTCGTCCCGCTGAAGTCCTCAACGAACTTCTCCTTGTGCAGCGGTGCCAGCAAGGGAC